ATATAAAATATTGTTTTATTTTAATTTATTTTTATAAAATTATAATATTATATTTATATATTATTATAAATTTATTAATATTAATTTATCCACAATTAAATTATTGAATCTTAAAGTTCGGTTGATTTAAATGACTAATCCAATTTTAAAAATATTATTATTGACTAACTCTTTGAATAGCCATTGTGTTTATTATAAATAATTGCTAAGTTTTTTTATGTGTTTTTTTTTTTAAATATATTAAGAGGTATGAATCTTTATAACATAAAGAAACCTCCTATTCATACAAATAATAAGTATATAATGATACCATATGACTGGCCATATTTATCCAAATTCTTAATTCTTCACCATATTCGTCATGGTAGTTTTGCTAAGTTTTTTTTAATTATTATTTTGTTTTTAAAATATATTAAGAGGTACCAATCTTTATGTCATAAAGAGCCTCCTATTTGTACAAGTAATAAGTTGTTTATAATGATACGACATGACTAGTCATGTTTATCCAAATTCTTAATTCTTCACCATATTCATCATGGTAGTTCTTTGCTAAGTTCTTTTTCTGTTTTTGTTTTATATTATTTTGTTTTTAAAATATATTAAGACGTATAAATCTTTATGTCATAAAGAATTTCCTATTCATACAAATAATAAGTCGTCTATAAAAATATCATATGAATAGTCATATTTATCCAAATTCTTAATTCTTCACCATATTCATCATAGTAGTTCTTCACTAAGTTTTTATTTTTTATTTTTTAAATATATTAAAAGATACGAATATATATATATATATATATATATATATATATATCATAAAAGAAAACATCTTATTCAAATAAATAATAAGTCATTTATAATAATACGAACTACCTATATGCATCCAAATTCTTAATTCTTGGCCATATTCATGACTGTAGTTCTTCCACCGCGTGTCCAAAGTCAACAATCAAATATCACCCGCTGACATGTGACTATTCACACCTAAACTTTTTTAATGCTATACCTATCTGTTTGCAAGTTGAAGCTCCACTATAATGGTAATCGAATATATTGGCAACTGGTGAAAAAAAAAACATGTATTCGACATTGGATCTGTATGTTTTCTTTAAAAAAAATGTTTTTAATCTGTATGTTTAATAATAAGAAGTGGATTCAATATTTCGAATTTATTTTGTAAAATAAGAAATCCTAGATAAACTAAACCTCGATACACAAGCCAAACCTAGATAGTGTGGGAGATTGTACGATATATGGTCACATGTAAAAGTTTGAGGATTATCTGCTCCACCAACATTGCAAAAAAGAAAACCCTTTTTATTTGAGTGAACTTCAAGACTCCATTATTTCTATTTCATTTCCAAATTTCAACTACTTTTTTTTTTTTTTTTCCAATTGTCGGTAGGTGTTGGGGGAGAAGAAAAGTGTCTGTCGCGTCGCAATCGAGTTTTTTTTTTTTTTCCTGTTGAGTTTCGTTTATATATATATATATATATATATATAAGACTCGAATTCAGATATTAATACTAAAGCTAGACGTCTCGATAATTACCCATTAGTTTTAGATTTTAATAAATAAAAAAAAATAAAAGAACAAATTTCGACAAATTAATTTAAAAATAGTATTTTTCATTTAAATTAGAAAAATTAACTACAAATTGAAAAAAAAAAATATTTATTTAATATAGTAAAATTGCATTTATAATATAAATAAAATATAATTCATAAATTTCAATATAACGAATCATAATCAACGAAAAAAATGAAAATATTTCACTTCTCTCGAAATTAATTATTAGCATCAACGAATTAATTTTTAAAATTAGAAAATTTCTATCAAATCAAATTAATCCAATTACATTTTTTTTATCTTCACCGGGTACGAGATTGATAGCAAAGGATCACCGAACTTGTTTTCCATTTGTATGGACAATGAAGCATGCGATGGATTCACCAAGTTATTGATCCTTTCTAGTTTCTATATATGAAGACCCACCGTCTTTTTTCTTGTTACCAAAGTAGACTAATTGATGTTCAATTTGACCAAAATAATATAACTTTTTAATTACTATTAAAATTATAGTAAGTTATATAGACGAAGTACAAATTTAGTAACAAAAAAATTGTATACGACTCATTAAATTAACAGAAATGTTACACACTCTCCACCATTTTCTATTATTAGTTAAAAATATACATTTTGTTACATCTTACCATTATATTAGAAAGACTTATTAAATGGGATGAAATTCAGCATTCACAAAATTTGTAACCTTTAATAAATTTTAACTAATAAAAAAATGTTTAAAAAAGCATATCGGAAAGAATATTACTAGCATATATTTTAGAGAGATTTTACTGAAAGAGAATTCTTCTTAAATCAAAAATTCCATATTTGATATTTATTTCCCAAAAAAAATTCAAAGAAAACATTTATTTACTTGATAATAAATTGCATTTCTATGTCTAAAAATCAACTATTCAAAAAACATATATATTTACTAGGATAATGTAGCAACTCCCTTTTAATAATTGTCTCATCAGCTAAAGTCTCACGCATACAAATAAAAATAAAAAAATATATATAAAATATATAAAAAAAAAATTCTACCTACCCTTAAATAATTGATTGGAAAAGTCGTTACAATTACATACCCCGGTTTCTGAGCGTTCGGCCATGGACGATTTTGTTGGATAAATTATTAAAATTAAAACTCGGGATATTTACCTATTGTCAAAAATAGGTTCCATAAATTAATTCCTGGAAAGGGATATTTAAATAAATTCCAAAAATACAGAGAAAGGTGTATTTATAAAAAGAAGCTCCCTTGTCCAAGTTGAAGACTTACGGATTTAAGCCCAATTGAACTACAGACCCAAATTCGATATGTACCACTGCAACCATTCTTTTTGGATACATGTAAGCAGCATTATGTGTAAAATCATGTTAATGATATATACACTTTCTTACATTAATAATATTTTTTATTATATATTTTAAAATATTTTATTTACTTTTAATTTTTTGATTATACAAATTCGTTTTGTCTTTGGCATTAACTTTTTTTAAAAAAAA